AAAATTAGAAAATTAAAAAGTATATTTTTCTTATACAAGCAGTATTTTTTTTTTCAGAAATTATACAAGCTGTATTTAAAAAGAAAAAAATCGAACACAAAATCTCATATGCACAGTAATTACAAGCTCATTGCATTATTTTTTATTCAAACAATAAGATGACAGAAATCAAACAATTGCCCTAATGTGAGTGTTTTTTTTGTTCAATACCTTATCATTATAGTTAAAAACCTCTTTAAAATAGGGAATATTTGATTGAGGATTTTACCTAATTTTAGAATTTTTCTTTTAAAAAATTGGGAGAAATTTAGTATGATGTTATAATAGGAAATGGTTTCAAGGAATTTACTTATTTACAGAAAATGTAATTAATGAAAATATTTTTAGACAATTATGATGATGTTAAATTACCTTGTTGGTTCATTCAACTAGTTGACTCGTGGCCGAGCCCATGAGCCATCATTTGTGACTGACTCACTTTTATGAGTCATTCTACAATCCTGATTTTGAAGACATTTTTTATACTAATTATGGGTGGGTATAATTTCGGGTCAACCTGACCGACTTATTCAATCTAATTGTAATGGATTGGATTGAATTAGATTAAAAATGAGCGAGTTTTGGGTCTAAGAAATCACAAACCACTATGCACGGATTGGAATTAAAACTTAAAAGTGAGCTTAACTTTGCGTTGACTTGACTGAATCGGCTAACCTGATGACAAAAAGTTTGTGTTAGGCTGGATTGACCAAATAATGAGCAAGTCTTTTTTTATCTAAAAAATCATAAACCGTTATATATCGGGTTGAGCCTAAAATCGACCCAACCCAACCTATGCCCACTCCTACTAATTTTGTAGGGTTAGCTAGTGAATTTTGGTTTACAATGGGAGATGTAAAAAGATCAAGTCAATAATCAGCTTGCCAAAAATCTAGTAAATTATTGACCATATTTCTATACATATATAGAATGGACTGTGGGAATTCAAGGCCCTACCAATCATGTTTATAATATCATCCTAGTTAAATTTGTGTTATATACATGTATTATACACGTAGTTTTCATTTATTATTAAAGTAAGGGACTATAACCCACAAATTTTAAATAATAATTATTACTACATATGTATTTTATTCTTATTTTTTCGTTACGTTGTTTACTAACTATAGTAAGGGGTTATGAAAATTACCACAAAAAGGACTTATCCTCAATTGGTGCGCTCGAAATGAGCACAAAACAGAGAGGCCCACAATCATCATTAGTGACAAATGAGAATGGCCTCACCTAGCCGGGCATCCAATATTTTGCCTCCCCTCAGAGGCCAGCGAATGCGTTCCTCACCTTGGATGCCTTCATATATCAGTTATAAGGGACTAGAAATTCGTACACAATACTTCAGATGTATGAGTAAATATATTTAATCACTATAACTATAAATTTCGTATTCTTATATTGAACTACAAAATTATTTTAGGATGCATTTTGATGAAATAATTTAAACAAAAGTATTTGGATTTAGGCGAGAAGATTATATTAGTAAAAAAAAACAGCAGTTAATTCGAATATATTAATATAGCAAGGTAATTGATTGTATTTGAGTGTTTTACCTCACGATTCACATGGTAAGCAAGGTGGCTGTAATTATTTGATTTGATTTTGTACTGTTTTTTTTCTTACTCATTTGTAACTTGTAACTTGTTGCCTGCTGTGACCTGTCGGTGGTGGGATTGCTTTTTGTATAAAGACCCTTTTTATCGTAAATGCCAAATGTAACGCTCTTTTTTAATCTCAAACTCAAAAGAGTTGGTGTCGGCAGAAGACAATAATTGAGACAACGTTTTTACTCAGCAAGATATTTGTTCTATGGTATTTTTATTGTAATTTGCAAGCATTCTTCTGTAAAGTAACCATTTTTGTCTTATAATTAAAATACTTTTATTTATTTTCCAATAAAGCTTAAATTAGTCCCGATTAAACAAGTTATTATGCTTTCAAATCAAGCGAAATTAACTTTTGATGAAGACTCTCACTGGTTTCTTCTTGCAAAATTCATTTTTATTTTCGATAGAGGAGTCTTTCTTCCTTACAAGTTACATCTGCCTTTTTCCTAACATTTCTGCTCAGTTTAAGGCTTAAGGTAAGCATCGTGCCTTGGGGGACATATAATGGCCTGAGGTCATGGTGCATATGGGGGTCGGAAAATCTTAAGGTTTGGTTGAACACGAGAATGGGTATTCAACTTGTGACGGTCATATTTTAAGAGATTTTAAATGTTAAAATGTCAATGTATTTTCTCTTCTCGGTACATTATATATATACGCACTGCGCAGTCAATAATTTTATTATTTAAGAATCGAATTTCTAATATTTCTCTCCACCTTATAAAGCAACATCAAAACCAAACCAAATGTCTTTGATAGAAACTCAATTGATGATCATGTGGTTGGCTTCTCCATGGATAGAGCTCTCATGTTTCCTCTTTTTTTTTTTGGTTGCCACCTTGTTCGATATGGGATAATCTTTAAGGGATGACTTAATTGGGGTTAAGTATTTTTACTTTACTGGTGCTATTTGTATCTGTTTAGTAGCTTTTTGGATATTGGTCCTTTGCCTCTCATTTCAAGAAGGAAAAAAAGGAAGGCAATGCACGTTTTTACCTTGGCATTGCATATCACCATATCTAATTTTGATATTCCCATATTCAAATTTATAATTAACAATTTTCCAAAAAAGCTAACGGTTGTTTGATAACTATTTTTCACTTTTTTTGAAAAATGAAAACTAAAAACATCTTTGGTAACATATTCCGTTTTTAGTTAAAAAAAAAATGAAATTTAGTTTTCAAAATCACCTTATTTTTTTAAAACAACTTGAAAGTGTTTTAAGTTTTAAGTTTTTGTTTTCATTTTCATTTTTTCGCGCTCCTATTTCATCCCTTAACTTTACATCACAACACATGGAATGCACTCAAGTTATCAAAATTTGGTATTTGGGATCTCCCAACTTGGACCCAATCGCTTGATTCTTGTGTTTGGCCAAGGACACAATCCAAGCCTCGGGAACTCCATTTCTAGCATTAACCAAAAAATCATCCTATTTGCAAAAACTTCATTGAAAAATACTATGAACTCTTTGTAACATGCGCTTACATTTTATGGTAAACTACAGTAAACCTCCCAACCTATAGGGTCATTTACGAGTGCATACCCGATTTTGGGGACATTTATGAGTATATACTCAACGTCGTGGAAAACCTACAATTTGCCCCCTCTGTTAGTCAAATTGTTAGTCAGTCTGTTAAATGTTGACGTGTCAAAAATGGGATCCTTTTTTTTGATGACGTGGACTTCTACGTGTACTAAAAATTAATAAAAAAATTATTTTAAAATTATTTTAAAAGATATCTCTCTCTCTCTCTCTCTCTCTCTAGCGAACCCAGCTACTCCAGCCACCAAAACCACCACCCAAACTAACACCCATCACCTCTCCTCCCCAACACAACCCAACCCTCAAATCCCCAACTCCTGCAACTTTAGATTTCAAGAACTTGGTCACGTTTTGAAAAACAATGGGTATGGTTTCAGATTGATAGAAACCATAGATTCGCGTCGCCTACTTGTTGAAAGCACAAATAGAATTGCAGATCTGTATTGCTTGAATGAAGACACCCGATCGACCCGACTTTCCCAAATAACAAATGAACCCAACAACAGATCTGTATTGCCTACTTGTTAGGCCCTCACTGTTACTCTTTTATTAAATCTCAATCTCTCTGAACCCAATAACAAATTCAAGTGAGAGAAATATTGAATAAATTTGCAGGGAATACAAAAGGGTCTCGTTGGGCTTCTTCTCCATCCCTAATTCTTTTTGCTGGTCAGCTTCATCAACAACATCTACACTAGAAATTATGGTGTTTTTTTTAATCATAAGAGGACATGGGAGATCTCTTCTTTTGTTTGCTGATGATATTGTAGGCGACATTTCCATAGGGAAGTATTTGGAGGAAGCTACAGAGGCACGCAGCAGATCTGGGTATGGGGCTTGGTCGACGTCGAAAACCCAGGTGGGGCTGAGAGATTGCGGGGCGATCGGGAGGTGCGATGGGCAATCAGTAAAGGCGATGGGTCTTCGTCGACGTCGAAAACCCAAGCGGGGTGGTTGTGGTTGTTTTGGCTTGCTGGGGTGGTTGTTGTGGCTGGCTGGCTGGGGTGGTCGTCGAAGACGTTGGCCAAACGTTGGCCCAGACCAACCCAGAGAGAGAGAGAGAGAGAAGATGAGTTTTTGTTTGTTCGGGTTTTTAGATTTTTTAATTTATTTCATTAATTTTATGTCTTATGTGGAGTCCACAGCAGTTAAAAAAAGGATCCCACAAATGACATGTAAGCAGATAACGAATTTTCTAACTATCTTGCTAACGGAAGGGCCAAATTGTAGGTTTTCAGCGACGATGAGTATGTACTTATAAATGTCCCCAAAATTGGGTATGCACTCTTAAATGACCATATAGATTGGGAGGTTTACTGTAGTTTACCCTACATTTTATGATATCAAATTCACAATTTAATCCCAAAAACTTTCATTTCCAAATTTCACATAAAACTGAAAATTGAAATAAATTACTGAACAACTTTTGTTCAGTTTTCAGTTTTTGTGAGAAATGAGATGAGTTACCAAACACGTTTTCAGTTTTCGAAAAATAAAAAATGAAAACCGAAAACTGAAATGATTATCAAACGGCCCTAAAAAAAAAAAACCGTCTTGGGCTTGAAATAATTATTATGAGATCACGGTGATCATGGTCGACCTGGACAGTTTGGAAGCCCAAACTGAATTACCAAAACGGGCCTGGCCCGATATATATATGATAGAAAATAATAATAATAATAAATTTCCAAGGAAAATTGTATTATAATATGCTGACTTTTATGTGAACAAGTTATTCGTCAAAGTAACCCAACAAAAAGCATCCACATCTTTTTGCTTTGGCTCAGAGAAAAATGAAAATTCCGAAGGTTCTCTTTTTCTTCATTTTTCCTGAGAAAACAAAGTATAAGGATTGAAAGATTGGCACCAGACCGAACAAAACTTCTGCTGAAACAGAGGGAGAAATCAGAAACAGAGAGAGCTAACTAAACTATATAAAGTTATAAACCAAGCTCACAGCAAAAACAAAAAGAAGAAAGAGCTTTTAGCAAAAGTCGGTTTTTAGATAGAATTTGTAACTGTTTCCCCTGAGAGCCGTGCTGAAACCAAAAGCACTAAAGCCCACGTTGTAGATTTTGTGGTAGTAGAAGTTGTGTGTAGGTGTGTAGGTAGGAAGCGAGCCAGCCATGTCAGCCCTGGTGCTCAAAATGACCACAGCAGCCTCGTCTATATACCCCAAGAAGAAGCCCTACCACCAAAAGCTCTCCAATTGGGTTCGGGTCTCCCCACAACGCCCTACCTCTTCCACCGCCACCACTCCCTCTCCCTCTTCCCCTCCAGCCCTAAATACCCCCATTCAGGCATTTACGCAAACACATAATAAATTCGGGTGCAGGATAACCCCCTGCGCACCCCTAGCACACCCCAACCACCCTCACCCTCCTCACATTCTTCTTCAAAACCTAGGGCCCAGATTTCATAAATGCCTCTCCGTTTCCTCTCGCAGCAGCAGCAGCAGCTCTAGTGGGGGTTTCTCCGAAGACAAAGGAGAGTCTTCTGGGTCTGGGTCTGGCTCTGAGCCTGGCCCTGCCGCTGGTCTTATGGCCGATATGGGTTCGGACAATAAAGGCACTGATTGGTACGAGAGCCAATTGTACCAAAACCACGACGAATTGTTATCTCCTCTGAAACAGCGCCAACAACAACAACAACAGCATTCTTCCTCCAAATTGCTCACCTTGCCCACCATTCTAACGCTTGGCCGCGTTGCCTCTGTGCCGATTCTCATTAGCAGTATGATTTGCTTTTGTTTTCATTGGTAATTGTGTATCTAGCTGATTTTTTGCTTACCCATGTGGGTTTTATTTGTTTTTCGTTTACATTGATGCCTATCGGAGCTCCAATAAAATTGGAGCAGTCATATTTTGGCAATTGGTTATGTTCATATATCTGGGTTTTGTCGGCATTCTAGGTTTCTGCAGATTTTGATTTGGATGCGTAATGCCCTTGCATTTTCATTTGGCTTACGTGGGTTTTTTTCCCCTTTCATTGTCCTAGCTTTCTACGTGGATAGTCGGTGGGGAACAACTGCTACAACAAGTATTTTCATTGCTGCAGCAATTACTGATTGGCTTGATGGGTACATTGCTCGAAAGGTTAACTTTTTTTCTCTCTCGACTCTGAGAGATCAAGTTTCAATTGATTTTGGGAATTTTAATGCTTGAGGTTTTATTGGGGACAATTTTATTGACTTCTTAAGAATTTATTTGCATTTCAGATGAGGTTGGGATCTGCTTTTGGTGCTTTTTTGGATCCCGTAGCTGATAAGGTATTTGTCTTTCTTATCAAGTTCAAATTTAACACGTTCATTGTCAATTTCAGATTGTTTCTGTTTATTATTATTCTTTAAAACTGTTTTAGAGTTCTAAACAGCTCATGGTTGCAGCCACACTGGTTTTGTTGTGTTCCAGGCCTTTGGATGTTGCTATGTTTGGGCAAGTTCCATGGTTGCTGGTTGTTCCTTCAATTGCCATAATCGGTAGAGAGGTATTATATAATTCTACTTACCTTCTTTATTTCTTTAGTTATTGATTCATCGATTCAGGACTTGCGTTTCTTGCCCTTTTTTCTTGTGACTGACCAATAAAATATTTAACTGGTATGTTAGTAATTGTCAAAATGGAATTTGATTGGATTTTTGGCACCTAGGAAATCATAGTTAGTAGAAAATTTGCGTTTGCCTGTATTTAACATGAAATTGTCTGTGCATGATGTTGCATGTAGAAAGGACGAGGGTATCTTCCTAAAGATGTGGGGTCCAGGGTATCATGTATTTGGATGGCATATTGAATTGGGGTTTGCAAATATCTTGTCATGAACTCTTCATCCATTTTAGGTTGTGTGGCCTTTTACTTTTTTGTGTATGAATGTGCATGTTGTTCTTGTGAGTTCCTGCTTAGGATCATGTTTGCTCAAATAAGCAATTATCAACTGCTCTATCTTGCCCCGTACTTGTGCAATCATTCTTGTTGTGTAGTTTTATGGATTCTATCGAATTGATAATACTGTCTGACAAATCAGTTTGCATCTTATTTTTAGATAACCATGTCTGCAGTTAGAGAATGGGCTGCTTCTCAGAACAGTAAGCTTTTAGAGGTTTGGTTTCCTTCCCCATGCCACCTTGTCATTTTAGAACTTAAAAAGTTTTTAGCTGTAACACATTTCATAAACAAAGTAGTTATTAGAATGGTGAATATTCTCAGGCTGTTGCTGTAAATAACTTGGGAAAGTGGAAAACAGCCACACAGATGATCGCGCTAACTGTCCTCTTGGCCACCCGAGACAGCAGGTAAATTGTCTGTTGATCTTTTCTCTTTAGGTCAATACAGATGAAAGATTTGGTAGTTTCTGACCCCTTTGCTTCCATCACCTACCATCCAACTTTTGCAGTCTTGGAAGACCAGAGGCTCTAGTAGCTTCGGGTGTTGCTTTGCTTTATATTTCAGCAGGGCTTGCTGTATGGTCTTTAGTTGTGTATATGAGCAAGATATGGAAAGTACTGCTCAAGTAGTGTGTGTGCTGTTGCTCTGTGTCTACGGATATACATACTTCTCAACCGAGCAATCATCTCAAATGCAAAGAAGTACTTGTTAGTGCTCTGTACATGAACCCCGTAATGAGCCATTGGAGCATCCTGCTGATAGTCGATGGAGGGGATAACCGTTATTGCTAAAGTTTCTGCAGTATTAAGTAAATTGCACTTTCATATTTTGGGCGGGGTAGTATCATTTTGTTTGATTGCTCCCCTCGGCGACTTTATATTCTCACAGCTGTCAGGTTCATCTGACTTTTCGGGATAATAGAGATGTTGAAACAAAATTTCCTCATTACATATCACATTTTGGTTATTCAATTTTTTGTTCTTTGAAAAAAATATGTACACTGATTTGGAAGATGCTGGTTCTTTGAAGCCAAGATGATGTTGGAGGATGTGGCATTAATTAATTTAGTTGCTGCTGCAGTTTGGCGCTGGAGATGGCTTATGTTTGTTGATTCTATTAAGTGTAAACAAAAATAATCTACGGCTAAAGAAAGTAGCTTTCTGAGTTCCCCTTATATGCTTATGGCAATTACTTTGCAGAGAAACATTTTATTGATTTTTGCAGGATATTGCAAGATTGATAATATTTCCCTTATAAAAAGGGAAAAAAGCACCGTCTATGCGTTGACCCACAACTTGCCCTTGAGGCTTTCTGAGTTAGATGCTTTGGGAAATATTGAGAGATCTTGAGTGTGCTGAAACTTGCATGAACCATCCTTCTTGGTTACAGCCAAACATTTTACCAAAAGAAATATTGTGCAAAAACAAATGGAAGTAAACTGCTAGCAATTGATGTGCAAATATTGATAAGAATCAAAGCAAAGGTTATTTCTCTTGTAAGACAGTCAGAAAGTCAAGTAAACCAAGGCCCTGATTACTTGGTCACATGTGATGTCCTCGGCCTATATTCAAAGGATGTTCTGTTTTGTTCAAATTATTTATATAAAATAAAAGCTGAAAATACCAATTCAGCTAAGTTAACATTCCATTCAATAATTACATGATTTGGTTCTCTGAAGAAGCTGGAGAAATTGAAATTGCAGCGACTCCTAACTTTGTTATGCTGATTTCATTTCTGTGCCTGAAAAACCAATGGATTGAATTAAGAAATTAGCACAAGCCATCTTCTTCACTTCTCATCATTGGCAACAACTTTGGGAATTGACTCCCTAACATGCTGTAACAAGAAAATTTACCAAAAAGCGTCTCTTGTAGCTTTCAACGAGCTCTTTGGGATCACGCCGGGTTTTTTTGTAAGCTAAATTTTTGTTCATCTTCTACACAATTGATATAAATTCACATGAGTAATATGTTCATAATTGATCTAACAATACATACATTCATGTTTTAAAACTTCAAATCGCTTCTTGAGGAAGTTCAAGAGAATGTCAAAATGTGAAGCTACTAAATTCATACTGTACCTCAAACCATGCTGCCAGTTTAGGCCTGCCTGCAGTGATGTCATACTTCTTCACTTCCAGTGAGAAAGGCTGAAATCTTTCAAGGAATGGAGCATAAGCTATATCCACCTGAAAATTAAGAACAAAACTTAAAACTTTTCCAATGATGGAGAAAACTTCAAACGAATTTAGCAAAAAAGTAAGGAAAAACTGACTGGTAAAGCAAAAATGGGAACTAAAATACTAATTGACAGAAAGCAGATATAGCTACCATATTACCAGACTGAAAGTGCCAAGAAAGAAAGGTCCATCTTCAAATTTGGAAAGAGCAGTTTCAATATAGTCAAATGCAGCACCTGCTTCAACATACGACTACAATTACATTAGCTCCTCAACTTTATTAACATCAAAAGAAGCAAGTAGTCATCTCACCAGCTGCCTCGGTTCTGTCCTCTTTAAATGAAGTAAACACAGATTTATTGAAGGAGTCTGTGTAGGACAGCAACTCTTCTGCAAACTCTCTCTTTGCAGGATCCTATATTTACAGAGTATGAGCTTTTGTATAGCCTAGAGAAGTCAACATGTAGTAACAATGCATTCCTGAAATCTTACATCAGGGAACAGTGAAGGCCCTTCAAAGTGACTGTCAATATATCTAATCAAATCAAGACTCTCTCCTTTGACTTTGTTATTGTGTTCCAGCGACGGCACCTATGTTCAAATTTCATATCAGATACACCTTGGGCAGAAAATGCAACAGTTAATCAAGCGTAATTAGCTCTGTTTTGTCTTTCTACTTTTCTCAATACAAAATGTGTGCGGTTTATCTCATAGTATGATGGCCCAAAAATATATTTATTGACTACTTTTGACATCCAAATAAGTTCCAATAACAAAACAGTGAGGATTCTTAAGCTCCAATGTGAGGGGGTATTCAAATGTTCCATAATATGAAAGCCTTCATTGCAATTTCTTATGGCTCTATTTTATGCTGAGGAATGTGCTTTCAAATGCATAACAAAAGCATAGGGAAAAATCTTATAATCTAGGAAGCAATAACACATAATCTAATTGCAAAAGCTCACCTTGTTAGGTGGGTAGACTTTCTCCTTGTACCAAGCAGGCCTGTCTTGCAGATCGATAGGAACCAATTGTATATTTTCCTCCAGTCCCTGTTCCCAGCAAACATCAAGGATTAAAGGAAAGATATTGTGGAAAAAACAAGGATAGCTTAAGCACCATCATAGCCAACATAGTAAGATTTGTCCACAAACAAGACAACAATAAAGACTCGTCCACAACTAGAGCAAACATTGGTACCTCAGAAAAAGGTCGTCCATAACCTCATTTACTAGCCCTTGCAGTTAGTCGTCTACTCTCACTCTCAGGCTTAATGTAAAGAGTTCTATTCATTTTTTTTTTTTGGAAGAAGATTCACAAAGTTCTTTTCTTCTCCGAATTTTTTGTGCAACCATTGAAAATGAGAAAAAGAGACCAAATCAAGTGAAACCAGACTGTGAAGTGCCTGTAGAAACAACCTTACAGTTCCGGGCAATCCACGCACGCTGTGCATATGGGCATTGGTAAGATATGTACAACCTTCAACAATACAACAAACCCAACATTCCCAATAGTTAGATTGACATTAACAAAATTACAAACCCAAATAATGTAAAATATGTTGCAATGGGCATTGAAACAAAAAGAATTTTGGAATTACAAGAACTTGCAAACTACAAAAGTCAAACCAAAAACTAAATGCAATGAAGCAGTGAAAATCCAGCAATCTATACCAACCTTGTTTTCCCATCGAAGAGTGTAGGTGGGTCTGAGGTAGAAGTGAGAGCTGGTGGCAGAACCTCTTGCCCACTTCCCCATAAGAACAAAAACAAAAACAAATTCTCAGCTTATTTATGAAGTAAAATATGAACACTTTTACAGCTCTAGTTATTGGGTTCTTAGAGACGGAAAAAGGTATAAACTTAAGATTTTTCGCATTTTCGGGGCAACCAAACAGGAGACAAGTATCATACCCAGTTGCCATAGTTGCAGAGAGTGAAGCTCTGGTTTTCTTTCCAAAAGAAGCTTGAAGTCGAAGCTTAGGAGGAGATAGTATGGTGGTGTTTGGAAATTTGGCTATCACTGGTTTCTTAGAGAGAGAGAAAGGGACTGAATTTGACAGGTGTGGCCAAGAGGGCAGAGAGGATGATGAAGTAGAAGCAGCGGTGCCTCTCAAACTCACGTTCAAAATAGCCATTGTGGTTTGGGTTGGTTCGGCTGCTGGTTATGGAGAATTTTTCAAAGCAGAAACAAAAGACTAAAAAAGAAGGTAGTTTGGACTTTGGATTCTGAGATACCAATCAGAAAAGGTTTAGCTGGTGGTGTATTTATACCTTATTTTTAGTAAGATGCATCTCGGTCACTGTGTATCTTAACTGTTGGCTTTGTATTTATACGAAGTGAGATCTAGCTCAGTATAGGGCTTTGACTTGCAGATAGTGATCTCATCTCATGTTCTAACCCCATGAGAAAATCCTTTCATTTTTCATTTGTAATTTACATAGCTTATATTTTTATTAAAAAATGAATTTATTAGAAGGGAGCACAATGTTCTTCGTTGAGAAATAAAATGCTTCCAGTCTTATATTCTCGAGGCAAGCAGCCTAATTAATTCGTATTAAGTGCTAGCTCTTCTGAAAAATATGTCATGCCCCAATGGCGGGTTAAGTCTGTTTTCTAGTCATTGACTTTCCATCTATACTGAAATTTCTTGTGGCCTTATGTAAAAATAAAACAAATAAAAAAATTCATGAAGCACAGCTATACATCAGAAGAAGGAGAAAAAAGAAAAGATGTAAAAAAAGACCCAAAATTCTGCCTTTAACTCTCCTCTTTGTAAAGAAAACAAAAGCTTTTTGTTTCTTAGTACAAACGAAGAAACCAGGGGCTTGAGTGATAGATCATCTGAAGTTCTGAACCTCCCAATCTAGGTGCTGGCAGGGACACCGCCACCTCCCTTAACTGAAAGCAGAGGCCCATGCCAGTAGCTACGACTGACCAGATGCGAATCCAGGAACAGCACTACCACTGTGATATCATCATGAAAATGTCTCCTCACCCCTCGGTCGATCTTTTTTAAGTCGGAGTATCTCATTTCTCTCTTCTTGGCTGCTTCGTGAAGCGCAGCTTTGACAAGTTTCCTTGCAATACCCTGCACAAAGATGGGAAATATTATAGCAGGTCCAGCAGCAACTAGAATAAAAGATGATTTCCAACTAATCTTACAATATAATACATACAACACAAAACCAATCTACATTTAGATTAATGATTTTGAAGGTTGAAGTTTTATAGTTGAAAATTTCTAGAATGTGCCAGATTTTCTTAATAATATTATGAATTGTAAAACCTATTATTCCGATAGCAAGAGTAAAGGATCTTTCCTGACGTGATTTAGAAACACATCCAATCATAACATACTCAAGTAAATTCAAAAGAAATTTAAAACTTAACATAGGAACCATACATTACGCGGATAGTTCTGGACAATGTCAACTGCCTCTTGACTGCTTAACTGCTCCCATAGGCCATCTGATGCAAATATGAGAAACTGATCTTCAGGGTAGAGTTTTTGGACTAATATTGTTGGCTCAGCTTTAAGGATTGGCTTGTGGAAGGGTTCTGATAGTCTAAACTTTGCCAATAGAGGTTCTTTGTTAAATTCTTGCCGCTTCAGGTAGGCATCGCCAATGGACCTTGAAACCTGCAAGACAAACACATCTCTAAATTAATGCTTCTCAACTCAGGTTTAGAACTAAAAGTCAAACACATATAAACCCCACTTGTCCAATTCCAAATCCATTCCAATAATGGCACCACTCTAGTCGAGATATACACTATATGTCCATCATCGAAATATTGAGAAAACTAAAGGAAATTAACTGTATGTATACTAAAAAAATCATGTAGCATAGAATTGGTGGAGTCACACAAGAGTCAAAAGGAAAAAGATCACTATGTGCAGGGTAACAGAAAATGACTCATAAGAGATTAAAAGAGATTTAAGAACAGATAAGAAAAAGAATTACCTGTATCAAACCCTTCACGCGCCACACCTTGTGCTTTAGTACCACAATCTGTGGATCATCGGGATGCAACAAGTGCAGTTCCTCTCTCACAGATTCTATACTTGCATTGTGTTCGATTGATAACTGAACAGCTTTTACCTGTTTAACGGTCTTTTCCAGTCTTCCTAAAACCACCCGAGAATCTCCCGCATTTGCTATGTATAGCAGCCCACTACATACTACGCCTACCAAACAACATGAACCAACAGAAGCAAGCAGTGGCTTAATTATCCACTGCTTCTTTACTAGAGAGAGGAATTCCTCTTCAGTTGCCAAAAATGCTTTGGTGATAACATCAGCGGACATTCCCTGATTCTCTGATGTGAATTCTGCACCATGAATAGCTGTCAAGTCAGTAAATATATGCATTAGCTATCTAAATATTGGGAGCATCATCTACATAAAATAAGGAAGTTTAATAGTTTCCGCAAAAATTGATAACAGCAGGGATGGCTCATACTACTTTTTTATCTTGCAAGACACAAGAAAATACTACTTTCCCAGTTTTTTATTTTACTACTAGTTCCTTATGAGCTACTGCAGAAACATCCAGGCATTAGCCAAAAACTGACCAAAATGCATTAGAATGCGGCATTCTCCCATCACCAAAGTATATAGCAATAGCAGCATAGTTTAGTGTATTGCAATTACCAAAAATTCTGAACAGGTATAATAAGATGAATTTAGGAGATTTGGTATAATAAAAAATATTAATGGTGCAAGTCAAGGAAACAACGCACTCTTAAAATTGTTGAACAAGTGCTCATTTAAAAACCGGGATGCTTCTGGACCTCCATGTCCATCATAAATTCCAACAAATGTCCCATGAGGACCTGATTCGAGCGAGCTCAGTGGCCCTGATTCAAGTTGGCTATGGTCTTCCAACAAATTGTTTGCCTGAATTACCGCCATTGAGAAATCCCCGTTAACATGGTGTCCTGAATCTTTGTACCACAACAAACCATCAAGCCGACCACTCACATCCCCGCCTCTATTATTAGAATTTTCACCCTCAACAGAAGGTTTCCAACACGGTGCCACAAGCTTCATTAGCGTAGTTGATACCATCCCTTACATATTATCAACCAAATGATCCAGCAATTAAATTATTCATTGAGTATATGTTTGTGAACAATATCTAATCTTGGTGTTTCCTCTAGCTTCCCTACAATTACAAAATCCAAGTAACAGACTCCACAAATCAAATACTCATTGATGAATGGGGACATTAATCTGCAGGGGTGTAAAACATCTAACGATTTGAACGATTTGATGGGTATGTGAATAACCTGCATATAAATTGGAGATAAAGATTAAACTGCAAACACAACCAAAGTCAAAAGTATACCCAAAAAAAAAAACAGATTGAAAGGTGCGCAAAACCAGACAACATGAGTTTGGGACGACAATCAAATTGCAAGCAACCTTAAACTCAATAGGTTTTAATTGAAAAAGACATAACAAAATGGGCATGCCCAGAAACAGCAAGAGTTTTCCACAAAAACAAAAATGCAAACTTTATCGATGAATAGATCATCATACAAACTAAGGGGTATTTCCAGAAAATACATCAACTTCAAAAGTGAGACAAATATCAAAACCATAAATCCAATGTCTATATAGACATATGGGTTTGTAATAAAAATTGCATACCAAATAATTCCATTGCAATGATTAACATTGAAGCATAATATAGAACAAAAACAAGTTCTTTTCTTTAAGCATGAAATGAACAAAATCTCCATACCTTGTATTCAATATGTTGGAGGGATTGTTTTAGCCCTCTGTCTAGGATAATTCATCTGTTGCTGAAAATAACCATTTTTATATGGATTAGACTGAGAACCAATGAAACAGATTTGGAATGTTCTGACAGAAAAAAAAAGGTTGTCAGAAACGTGGAAAGGGTAGATCGAAAGAGTAGAGAGAGAGAGAGAGATTGGAAGCAGTAATTGGTTCTCTTTCCTTTTCCTTAATGTACAACAAACCCCTCGCCCTCGGTTTGAAAAACCATCATAAGGGAGAGAGCTGCTGAGGCCTTTTGGGTTGGATTTTCAGTTTAGGTATTCTAATTTATGGGCTGGGGTTTTGACTTTGACCTGCAACAAACCACCATTTCAGGCAACTTTTGCTCATCTTCCCCTCTCCTTAATATAGTAAACTCTAATAAGTTCTTCTTTAGAATCATTAAAGAATTTTCCCACTTTGCCAATAATATTATGTTTTGGAATTTTTTGGGAATAAAGTTGACAACTTGCTACACTATCTATTGGCCAATCATAATATCTTCCTAATTGACCTTCTAGCTATATTTTATGGTTTTGCTTATGCATTCGGTTGTCACTTGCAAATGAACACACTTTGCTTTATTCTTTCCAGAGTACAATGGTACTTTTCTACTCGGTGAAAATCGAAGTTTGAGTTCTCCCTTCTTCTTTTTTTGGCACATAATCTTTTTGATGTTTATGAATGAAGTTTATATGTTCACAGATCATATAGATATTTTTCTTTGTAGAAAATGAAGTTTAGTCAGAGGTATCAAACTCATTTTCGTAATCTATATGATACGAACTTGAAATCCACTATAATCAAATGAAGACAAATTTTGCTAGACCAAAAGAGTAATTATGAACATTAGTCATATCAACTATAAATGTTACTAATAGATAACTAGGTGCATGCAGCATGATTAATTCCATGTTTTGTCTTAACATTAGATACATCGTTTATATCGATGCATCATGCACTCATTGATTAAACTATGGATTCGGCTGTCACTTGCTAAGAGAAACACATCCTTCCAAGTACATGGTATACCACTTGGTGAAAATCGAAGCTTCAACTTTTTATTAGGACATAAGTTTGATGTGTTTGAATGAGTTTGTTGTTGATAGGTCTTCTCTTTTTTGTTTTCATCAGAAGAAAATTTATTGATGAGAAGATGACATGCTTGTATAATTTCTCATTTTTAAACAAATGCTTTGAATCATCTTTCTACATCTTAAATTTATCATATTTTCTCACCACAATCATCTGCATATCCATTAGGCCAATGGGTCTTAGCTTGGTAGAGCTGTTGGCATGTAAGTTAGCAGTCTACGGTTCGATTCCCTATAATTCCATGTGTGTGTGAGAATACCTCATTCTTTTTTTAATAGTGACAAAAAAAAAAAAAAAACCTAATATCTATTAATTTGCATTTTGTTGAATACAATATTATAATCCTTGGATTAAAATTTATAAAGACGATTTTGATACTTGTTATTGTCATATATGATATTGTTAATGTAGCGTTCAGGTGGGAATTGAAGGTTATCCCAGTTGAAATTTAAAATTTTGTTATTAAAAAAAACCATTTGAATTAGACAGAAAAAGAAAAAGCTCTTTAAATATTAAAATCCTTAAAATACAGCAAAGTCTTAAGGACTATATGCCAAAAAAGGGAAAACAACTGGCCGTTAACATTTCCCGCGGACCGTTCAATGCTACCCAACGATGCCGTTTTGTCTGTCCTTACCTAACTCTCGTATCAGTCCACTCCTCCGACACGCCACTCCGATTCGTTGCCAGTCCGCACGTGTCATCTTTGCCGGCGAGTCAAACATGGCTGCCAACTCACTCCGAGTCGCCGCCGCTCAGATGACCTCTATCAACGACCTCGCCGCCAACTTCGCCACCTGCTCTCGCCTCGTCAAAGTACCCAACTTTACACCTTTTTCAAAAAAAAATTCAATTTGTTAAATTATTTTTTGTTTTTCAAAGTTTGATTAATTATTGATAATATCATTTTATGATAAGCGAAGGAAGCAGCTGCCGCTGGAGCAAAATTGATATGCTTTCCAGAAAGCTTCTCCTTTATTGGTGCCAAAGATGGGGATAGTCTCAAAATAGCACAACCTTTGGACGGTCCAATTTTGCAACAGTACTGCTCTCTAGCAAGGTATATACTTAGTAATTTTGAAAAAAGAAAGGGACTTTATATCAGACATTTGATTTTTGTGGGTAATTGAAGTGACCCATTGAAGAATTAATTGCAGAGAATCTGGGATTTGGTTGTCTCTTGGAGGGTTCCAAGAAAAGGGGTCTGATGATGAACATTTGTTTAACACCCATGTTGTGGTTGATGATGCTGGGAACATCAGAAGCACTTACAGAAAGATTCACTTGTATGTGAGCTTTCTTTTAAGTTCACTGCTTTGCAATATTTAGTAGCTGAACTTTTTGTGAAAACTGTGGTCATGTTGCAACCTATGTGCGTATAGCAAACAAAGTTGTTGAAGTTGATTTGTTGTTGAAGGTTTGATGTGGATATTCCTGGTGGAAGGGCATACAATGAAGGCAGCTTTACAGAACCAGGTAATTTGCTTCCCACATTGTAATGTTCAAATTATATATAAGTATTGGGACGGTTTCATTTACATTGTTTTAATCCTGGCGTTTGAATGTCCTCTTTTAACCATTAACATTTTTTGTACTATTGCTGTTTGTCTGTATTTTCAGGGAAGAATGTTGTTGCAACCGATAGCCCGGTTGGACGCTTGGGTTTGACGGTTTGCTATGACCTGAGATTCCCAGAGCTTTACCAGCAGCTCAGGTTCCAACATGAGGCACAGGTACACGTAGATTTTTCTTAGCATTGAAGTGCAATGGGGGTTATTTATCATCACATATTGGCATCTTGCATTACAATCTGCAGGTTCTATTGGTCCCTGCAGCCTTCACAAAAGTAACTGGCCTGGCGCACTGGGAGATACTTCTACGTGCTCGTGCAATTGAAACTCAATGCTATGTATGGATTCCATTTGCTTCTTCATTAACATAACCTTTTCATATTTGTTTCTAGGGAACAAATTCGCTGACAATGTCATCTTGGATATGCTACTGTTCTTTGCTGCTACATTTTGGGGATGATTATGTTATTTATGCATTGTTAGGTCATAGCTGCAGCACAAGCTGGACAGCATAATGATAAAAGAGAAAGCCACGGCGAAACTTTAATTATTGATCCATGGGGAGCAGTTGTTGGCAGACTGCCTGGTGAGGACTTATTTTTCTTGTACCTTCTAAGCTTCTTGAGATAGCTTTCAGTGGCTGTAGACCATGGCTTCAAGTTTAGTTAATAAAAGGAAATTTTGACCTATAAACCATCAATTTCTTTGTTAATCTCTCAAAGACTCCTATAATGAAGTTCAATTTTTCTTCGAATTTTGTTTTTGAGTTTCCCTTGTTAAACCATGGCAACTATTAACAACCTATAAAAATAGATAATTGAAGGTGTTTTGAGTGTTGTTAATTTGTTCCTTGATAATGTTTGGAAGAACAGATAAGAGACTTGGTCCTCTGTGTCAACTCATGTTTTAGAAGATCCAGAATGGATCAGATGTATAACTTTACTAGAAAGGTTTTTTGGTTGAGGAGATGTTCAACTCTGAAATACCTCACTATAGGTTGAACTTCACTGTAGCCATTCCTTGAAATACTAGAGTGTGTTACCTTCCTAAGCGTCGAAAATGAAAAATAAGAAACTATAATGTCAAATCTGCTGCTTTATTGTTTGGAACCAGTTCTTAGGCTGGTGCTACTTGTACCAGCCAATGCTGCAACATAATTTTAACATTTCATTCTCTCTGTCTTAGATCGACTGTCAACAGGGATTGCTATAGCTGATATTGATCTCTCCTTGATCGATTCAGTGAGAGAAAAGATGCCAATTGCCAAGGTATGTTCTTTGTCCAGTTTGAAAAATGAAGTATATTTGTTTTCTTGATCGAATTGTGTTGTAGTAAACTAATTCATTTTATTTTGTTTGCTATTTCAGCACCGGAAGCCCGTTGAGTTCTGGAAATCTGCATCTCTATGATTTGCGAGATGGTTTGCCCTGTGTACCCTTTTACTCAAAATGATATCTCAGAGCCATTTTGAACTTCTGTTGCACCTGCAGATAAAGAATAACGTAGCAAATTGAATATTTAGGATGCTACCGTAGTGTCAGCTATGGCCTTTCTCCTTTCACCAATAAACAAACATCAATATCAATGTAGGATCGAACTATACATTCTTCTACTTCAGCATATGGATTGTTGTATTAGACCGGTCTTACTTTAAGAGAAAAAGAATACATTTTTAGAGAGAATATGTTCATCAAACTATGTCCTCTGCAAATGGATATGAAGGATCAAGTAATTGGTGCTTTTAGAGAATACATTTTTCTATTTTGCCTCTTGGTGTACACATCAAAACATTAAATTTAAAACCCAAAAAACACAAACCGTAAGATGGAGGGCTGGTTTGCAGATATGGGCCTCAGTCGAGTTGACTAAAGCGGATGTGCTCCCCACTCTGCACACGAGTTCGGATCCCCCTCCTCGTAATTTAGATTAGATTAAAGTAGAATATAGCTTGTACACAAAAAGATGGAAGGGCTGGTTTGGCCTCCTAACTCAGTTTTTTTCTCGTAGATTTCCTATTCAAAGTTCATTCTTAGTAAGACGTATAAAGCATCTTTAAAGATTAAAGACATTGTTGTCCCAATCTTAATTAGGATCGTTTCTTTAATTATTGCTCATAAAGCTGAACCAAATCACGACATGACATATAAAAATCGATACCAATGAATCCAATTCCAAAAATTTGCCATTGGATTGGTCAGAGGTTAAAAGATGCACTATCCATCGTCGATGGAGACTGAAAGTAGTGGGGAAATGGGAATCTCTTCTTTCTCAAAGCAAATCCATTTACATGCCTTTCTTTAATTTTCCTGTGCAACGTTTCTTTATATCTTCACGGAATCTAACCCAAATTAGAAATCTCTTGTATTATATACAAGTTCCAAACTTTCACGCACTACCTCACCCAAAAACAAATCACAACCAAGAAACCCTGCTGAAGTTTCCAATGAAGAGAATGAGCATTTTAACTGTATTTGCAATTTTCTTCATCATCTCTATGCCAATCAACGCAATGCAACCTAACAACTAT